GAAATAAACCATATAAATTTGAAACTTTGAAGTTTATAATCTTGAATTTAAAATGTTCCGAATTAATATCAATTACAAATTAAAATTTTCTTCAAATGAGCTAGCTTGTTCAGTTATTACATATTTATTTCTAGTTTACTTAATTTTTATAATACAATAATAATATTTTTTCAACTTTTGTAGAAAATATTTCTATTAAATTCAAAAAGAAAAATATTTCAACAGTTGATCCATTAGAACAAAGAACTTCTCAAAAAACGCTGAAACTAAGATTCTGTCTTCATACGTATACAATAACAATTATGTAATGAAAATATTGCGCATTACTTAAATCGGTAATGGTCTTAGAACAACGAACAATAATGAATTCTCGTAATATAAATGCCCTCTAGATCACTTTGTTTGTTCATTGGAACAAATTGGGGAAACAAGATTAATTGATCATTAGAAAGAAGGAAAACCTTGAGAATGAAAAAAATATCAGAAAACTTTTTTCTTTTCTTAAAAATCTTTAGCTGCATTATTTTTTTTAATATTAATACATTTCTAAAAACGAAAATATTAATAAAAGACTTGCTTACCAAATGACATGAAAAGTGGGAAAGACTGTATTTTATGACAATTATATTTGGACCTAAAATGCAGTTATTAAAGTATACATATCTTTAGCATTTGAGACAGAATCGGCAAATGCTTCATAAAAAGGTAACTTTCTATTCAAACCGTAAGTAAGCAAAAAAATATCTGCATATAGAACCGTAAATAATTCAGAATAGTATTCTAATCGGAAATTTCATATTCCTCAGAGGAAAACGATTGAATTTGCATTTTATGAGCAAACAATCATAAAATTGAATTTATGGCAAAAATTTTTCGTCTTATTAAGTGTAATTTAGCTACTAAAATTTAACAGCTTATATGTAGCTTAAAGTAAATAATAACTTGTTGGTTGTTGCAGAAATCATTTAGAATATCGGTATTTCGATATTTCAAGCATTCAACTAAGAACATTTATGTAACTTTAATTTATGTAAATTGTGCGTCGATTATAGTGAAACAGGCTCAATAAGTGATTAAAAAACTATTTATTAAAGTATTTTTCCCCTATCAAGAGCTTGCATAAGAAGGCAATACCTGTAAATACAAACTTGATTTGGAATATTATTTTATTGGAAAGTCTTCTACTTATAGACAAAGAACGGGTGGAGATTTATTTTTTTAGATACATGTCTTTAATATTCAAGATAGATTTATTAACTATTTCATATAAATCTTAATTTTTCTAACAAGCTTAATTATACAATCATACTCTACTTGTAAATTCGAAAATAATTCAGAATAACTTTATTTGTTTGGAATTTTTGTATTCCTTTAGCATAAAACAACTTAATTTACATTTCATGAAAATCATATTAGGTTATAAAATACAGTGTATGTCAAAAGTTTTGACTTATTAAATGCAATGTAGTTAGACTGAAACTGAACAGCTAATATGTAACTTAAGAGTTTGGTAGTTACAGAAATCATCTAGAGTATCTCCGACATTAACTCCCATAAGCTTTGCTGCCATGCTTCAAAAGTGTCTAATTAAATTTCTCAAGTGCAAGAGACATTAATTAAAACTGATATTCCGAATCTGGATAGATTGATCACTTAAAGGCGGCATTACACTAAATCCCAAGTGATTTCAACGTGACTACAGAAATTCTTCATAGAGGGACTCGTTGATTATTTATTCTCCAATGATTACTTTGTATGGTTCAAAAGCTACGTGAAGTTTTATTTGACACTTATTGGATTCTATTGCAACTTAAAAGGTTGATCTTAAAATCTTCGTTGTATTTTTCTGATCTTAATATTGCCTAGATATTAAATGTAGATATATGTATTTAATCAATACATCACTTCTATAGGAGTAAAAACTTATGTCGGTAATTGCAGAGTAATTTTTTCTTAGCATCGAAAAAATTACTGAATTTCCGCTAAAACGTAGAAATCACTTATTCTACTGATAATCTAAATAACGTGGTGATTAACAAGGGTGACTCGTTAAAATAGCAAAACAATTTTTCATTTCTCAAACTCGAGAAGAAGTGCAGTGATTTTGCTTAACCACGTGATTAAAATTAGATTCAATTGGATACCTGTAAGTGACGTCATGCTTGTGTGTCGAACCTGATTGGCTTCCGAATCTGAAATGCTATGATTTACCTACGATAGCGTCACTTGCAGATGGCCGTGTGTAATAATCATAACAAAACAAGGTCTACACAGAATTAAACTACATAGCTCAAAACAATTAAAGGATATGGTAAGTCTCGTATAGAATAATGGTATACATTTTTTTTAATTAAAAAGAGAGTGACAAATGCAATTTTTTCTTATCTTCAAACTTCACAGTATGCAAATTTGACACCGAAGACGACGCTTTAGTGGCAGCGAATAGCATTTGGCTTTGAACTTATTGTAAGACAAAGTGAAAAAGAATGATCCTCATGCATTAAGAGCGTGATTTCGATGAGTGCGATGTCTGAACGAAGTCATTTAACCGAATCAGAAGCTTGGAGAGTTGTTGGCCAGTTAGAGTAGGGCCAAAAACAAGCCAAAGTAGCAGAAGCCATTTTATTTTCATAAAATTAGATTTACAGGATTTGGAACCGTTTTTTAGAGACTAGAAATGCAAGCTGAAGATCAGGGCAAGCGAGTAGACTCACAACAACGCTCAAGTCCGTTATTTAACGCTAAATGGTCGGAGATACCTAAATATGAATGTCACAATTCTTCTACAACACCTTCGCTCGGCTACTGGCACCACAGTTTCGACACAAACTATCCGAAACCACCTTCACGCTGTAGGTATCTATGATCACCGATTAATGATGTGTGTCCCGTTAACAGAAAGGCACCGTTGCGCCTGCAGGGAATGGGCAACAGAGCATGTGAACTGGAATAGAAATGAATGGCTCAATATTCTTTTCTCTGACGAGTCCCGTTTTTTTCTGTTCATCCTTACAATAGGCGTATTTTCATCTGGAGGGAACGTGGTACTAGAAACAATCCTGCTTTCGAATGTGTAACATTTGGCTGTGGGGGAGTGATGGTCTATGCTGGCATCTCCATTGATGGTCGCACCGATCTCCATATCATTCGAAATGGAGCTCTGGACGGTCGCCTAAATAGGTATGAGATCCCGAGACCTATTGTAGTCCCTTACGCTGCAGCAATTGGAGATGACTTCATGTTAATGGAGGGCAATTGCAGGCCACATCGTGCTAACTTGGTGAATGATTTTCTTTTGGAAAAAGGAATCACTGCCCAGCGTGTTCTCCTGACATGAACCCGATAAATCATGTTTGGGACATTCTAAGCAGACAAATTGCTGGACGCCTACCACCCCCATAAACTCTTCAAGAAATGCAAAGAGCTTTTCTGGAGGAGAGGGATAGAATACCCTTGCCCTTTGTTTATAACCTCATTAATTCGATGCCTCAGAGATGTTCAACGTTGCTGGCCGTCCGAGGAAACTATAACCTCTACTAAAAATTATTATCTTTTAAGGAAACACCTTTTATTTTTTTTTAATATGCACAAATTGCTTTTTTTTCTTCAAATACTCAATAAAACGCATTTTTTCTGCCAAACAAATATAATTTTTATCTCATCTAACATACTATGACTGTCGATAATGTATTAATCATTCAAAAAATTCTCCAGCTGCAAGATCAACCCACAACCTCAATATCCTTTAATTGTTTTGAGCAGTGTATATTATTAATCTAATATCTAGCGTATACAAATAAAATTTGTGCTACACACAAAAAATAAACTAAATCGACGCGAAAAAGCCTAAATAATGACACATATAAAAGAGACATGATAATTTCGTAACTTTAGTAAAGCACGTTCAAATTCTCAATATATAAATATAATTTTTTATGTGACACCATAAACACGAAGATCTATCGATATGCTATACTATAGCTATTTATTTGGTTGTTTTAAGGAATAATTTAACTAGTGCTGAATAGTTAGTTATACATGAAATATTCATTCAGAATAATTTTGTAATTTTATAGAATTAAAAGCTTAGTTACGAAGTTAATTACTTAAGATTTATTCTTGATCTATTCTAAAATGGAAGAAGAAATTTTATATATAAACGGTGTTATGGTGTTGCATACTGTCATCAATCATTGATGACGAAGTTTGCCTTTTTCGAACAATGGCATATATATTATTCAATATTCAAGTGATGACTCGAGAGGTGCGTGAGGAAGTAGTACAGCTCGTAATGGAGAATTGGAAAGCTTCTTATATCGTATCCCACGTTAGAGAAGTAAAGAATTTCAATGCTTTCGTGGCCTACTATGCTGAAATGTACCGAACTCATACTTGCAGTGGTTTGTGCGATTTAATGGCTGATGAACAGATTTTAAATTATTACAAGAATTCAATACATAGAGTATTTTAACAATATCGTGGACATTTTATGAATATTTTTAAGATTGAAATCAAAGTTCTTTCATCGTCTGGCAACAGCTAGACGATGAAAAAATTGGGTAAATATATTGTTTAAAACTAATAAGGTGTTATAATTAGAGAAGGGGTTGAATTATTAGAATATTTAAATACAGTTGCGCTGTGCTTTCGACTTGGTTACCATTTAAGTCTATAACTTACAAAAGATAACTTTGTCAGGGAGCTATTTACCAAAGAAGGCTTGTAATAATAATATTAATAACAAATAAAAACTGAATTCCCTACATGACCTTTTAAGTTTAAATACTCATTCTGTGTTTTGACAGTGAAGAAGATATTTTGTCAGTGTACAAAACCGGAAATAAATTTGTTTTAGGCAATGACTTACCTGTGCCTTTTCACGATGCTTAAATTTATTTTGCAAAGCTTCAGACATATTATCTTAATAGATAGACATATTAATACATAAAAAACAATTAACAACACTAATATAATATTTGGACAATAGTTTAAACTCTTACCTTTAATTCGCCGACTGTAGACAGACTTTTTAAACATTGAATTTTTTGCATCACATTTTTTGACACAAACTATTTCCTGAAATTAGAAATACAGCTATTAGAAACGCTTGCGATAACTCAGTATGCCTTCATTTTTTTATCACCACCGCCGCTGAACAGTCGACCAAATTTTGAGTTTTCAGCTACCAACGTTCAAACTACGTAGCCTTGTAATTTTGTACCCGATCCAGAAGATATGGGAACTTCTGTATCAAGTATTGGGAGAAATTTGCCTTTGTAAAGAACTGTTTTTGAAGTAAATAACCCGCATTTGCGTTACATGTAGAGGATAATAACGAAAACCTCAAATGGTTTCTCAAACTCTAACCTATGATCTCTAAAAAAAAAACTGATTTATTTCAAGTTGTTTTCAATGAGACCAAATAGCTTCAAGGTGAATCAAAAATATTCATCGCTCAGTTTCTCTGATTTACTATACTTCTCAATTCTAAACAAAGACACAAAGCTTCTTGCAAAAAACCTGCAGATTGATTAAGTAAATCTTTAATCGCACATTTTTGATAAGTGCAAAAATAATTAGCACCTGCAACAATTTAGTAAAATATATTGCTGGATAAAAAATAGTTAATACTTTTCCAATTAGTCAGGCTCATAACGGTGACATTTAAAACGAGACGGGTTGACATATGCATACCTTGAGTAATTTGAATTGTCCCAAAATTAGAAATGATTGACATTCACAGAAAATATTTGAAAAACCTATGTTTAAATTCATTTTTATTATTAGTTTTCCATAGGAATACTCAGACAAAAACTTCACACTAAACAAATGAAAAGATGCACAAAGGTTTATGTCAAAAAGTACGAAATAAACCAATTTTAAGGAACTTTTTTTAAGCAATTACATTAAAAAATCAAAACAATTTTACCGTTAATGAATAATATTTTATTCTCACGCAGTGCAGTTTTCATTAATCATATAGAATGAAGTAGAATAGAATACAAAAATTTGTTTTAGTCATTGTTCTTATTTTTAACGCTTCTGCCTGCCGATTTCTGCTGAGGCCATGGCACGCTTAAAACAGTACAATAAGTTACGGGAAGCCTAGGTGAACTACATTGGACTGCAGTAAGAGTAAATTAGGTAGCAGTTTCGTGTCCCGCATTCAACGAAGAACACCGACGTTTAGAAGAAAACAGTATGCAAACTGAGAGTATGATACGAATGACTTAAAAATTAATAAAATCACGGCTGGTCAGAGGTTCTTAAAAAGACTTTGAAATTAAAGCTCTTAGCTGTGCTTTTATCAAAAAAACGTAAAGCTTTTAACTGTGAACTTAAAAACTAAGAAAAAGGTGAGACTTTCCTGACCGAGAAGTACTGTCCTTCCTCCAGAGTTGTTCTCAAAATAGTGGCTGTAGCAGGTTTGATTCTAACTTTAACTCTGGTGGTTTGTGTACCATTCTTCGATTTGGCAAAAGTTACCGAGCATGGATAATTAAGGAACACTGGCTGTACAGTTTACAGTTTATAATATCAAATTAACGGTAGAACACACGCACATACGCAATTACACATGTTATTGTTGTAGTTTATTTACTTCGCACTAGAGCTCACAATAAGCTATTGGCGCCGGTCTGGGCAACATCCCTGAGGATGATTCGAAGATACGCCATCCCAATCCTCTGCAGAGAAGATGAGATGTCACCCCTGTTTCGGTAGCCCGATGACCTGCCTGTGAAGTCGAGCATTTTACGGTAGAACAGTTTAACGAGGACCGATACCGCACACCCTCGGTTCCTTAACATGCTGATTGAAGTCGTCACTCACCACTGCCAGTAATGCTTGACTTCATTAACATATTGGGAACAGTGCCTTAATGATCAATCCACCGTGGAACATAAAAGTTACGTATTCACTAACCTTGAATTGAAATGCTTAGACAAGAATAGGTAGGAGTAGAAGTAACAGGTTCGATTTCCACTTCAATTCTGGATATATCGTTAATTATCTCTCTTTTAGGTCCCGCAGTGGACTGATCGTTAAGACACGGTTCCCATCAGATCACCGAAGTCAAGCATCACTGGCTGAGGTCAGTGTGCGGGTGGGTGACCACTTGGATCAGTCTGCGTAGGGACCGAGGGTGTGCGGTATGGGTCCTCGTTAAACTGTGCTACCGTAAAGTGTTCGACTTCGCGTGCAGGTCGTCGGGCAACCGAAGCGGACGCGCCATCCCCTCTGCAGAGGATCAAAATTGTGATGGCATGTCTTCGGATCATCCTCAGGGATGTTTCCCAGACCGTTGCCAATAGCCCATTGTGCAGCTCTAGTGCGACGTAAATGAAAAACAACAACAAATCTCTCTTTTCGATTTTATAAATTGCGCTATCGATTCTTCTATTTGATAAGGATTTTTAAAGTATCATATTTATTCAGATATGAAGCTTGACGATGAATAAGGTAACAATTTCAAATTTTGCATCATACTTTCTATTGGTAGTTATTGATTGCTAATTTGTTTTGATTATTTATTGATTGTTTATTGTGGAACAGTGCCAATAACTAACTTATGTTGCAAATGCAACCACTTATTTCAAGAGTGTATTTATTCAGTGTTTCGTTGTTTGCAATGTTGATATTTTAAAGTGTGTGTAATTAAAAAATATTTATCAAATTACTACAAAAAATTATTTTGTTTTTCAACTATTTTGCGTAATACATAAAAAATCAAAAGCAGTATGGGAACTCAATTTTTATTTTTTAGTTTGAGTATAACTATGAAATATCAGCAATTTTTTATAAATTTGTTAAATTTTATCTAAACTTATTTTAAGAGGGAAAATTATCGCAAAAGGTCATGTATTTAAATTATTCGAAAAAACAAGCATTTTAAAATATTTTACTTAATTCACATTCGTATCTATACAATAAAATCTTATAACTGAAATTTTAAATGAAGCTCCCTGCTTAAAGACAATGAAACATCCAATCGTTTCCCGATTAATACTAGCAAAATGTATCGATATTTGATCACCAAATCGGATAAATCGCAACAAAATTTTCAACATAGCTAGAGCACTAAAATTTTAAATAAATTTTGCAACTTGTATACCATTCCAAGTTTTTAATCGTTTTCGAATAGCTACAAATAGAATTTATCTATTATTTAAGAATCGGTTTGAGGATACATTCTTAATAATATTTGATTATAAAAATTAGCATGATTTTTGTAGTTGGGAATTCAATTTCAATTTATTTTTAGTAGTAAATATGAATAGTACGTCATTTGTTAGTTTTTTTGAATTGCGACGTTTTGACAGCTCTTTTTATAATTGTAAACACCTTTATATAAAATATTAAAAGAAATCACTGTTGTTTAAATTCTTTAAATTCATTAAAATGACTTTTCGTTCAGTTTCACATTTATGTTTTCATTATATTAAATATCTTGGAAATTATTTTTTATTTTATACCCGTCGATGAACAGACGACCCAATTTTTGGGTTTACGACTACTAATATTCAACTCCGTAGCCTTGTAATTTTGAACCCAATCCAGAAGACAAGGGAATACCCGGATCAAGTATTGGGAGAAATTTGCCTTCGTGGAGGACTTTTTGATGGTACTAACCCGCATTTACGTTACATGGAGAGGAAAACCAAAAGAACCTCCAACAGTTAGCCTGATGGCTAATGGACACTAACCCATGATCCGTCCACCATTGAGGATATTTCATGTCAGCACTGTGGTCGGTGAAACCTGGATGTGGATTCGTATCGACCAGCCATCGTGGGATTCGAACCCGGTTCTCCTCATTGGAAAGGAAACGCTCTATCCCTTGAGCCATCACGGCTCAGTTTGTTATGATTAATACACACGGAGACAATTATTAGCACTATTTGAACTGTATTCTGTTGCAAGTAAAGAAAAAAAACATTATCTCTATGGAGAGAGCCTGTTTGCATCTAAGTGCAAGCCAAATGTATGCCAAGCTCCCAGCATGAACTTATATCAACAATGCCAACTGTTGAAAGGACGTTGCACAGCTTCCTTTTTGACTGATTTCTTATTGACCACCATAATCAATCAAGTAATAAAAGTCCTGCAGTGGAGACTGATCGTTAAGACACGGTTCCCAGCGGATCACCAAAGTCAAGCATCACTGACTGCGGTCAGTGTGCGGGTTTGTGACCACTTGGATCAGTCTGCGTAGGGACAGAGGGTGTGCAGTATTTTTCCTCGTTAAACTGTTCAACCGCAAAGCGCTCGACTTCATGCGCAAGTCGACGGACTACCTAAACAGGGGAGTTATCCCCTCTGCAGAGAATCAAAATTGTGACGTCATATCTTTGATCATCCTTAGGGATGTTTCCCAGATCATCGCCAATAGCTCAATGTGCAGCTCTAGGGCTGCGTAAATATAGTACCTACCTACATCTTATGAGAAACAAAAAAAAAAGCTATCTCGCATTTAATTTGCTAAGAGCATATCAGCATAAGACGCGCCATTTTTAGTGGTCCAATTAAATCCAATGCTTTTCCAACGTCATATAGTTATTTCTTTTTCAAGAACGAATGTTCTCCTTACTTATCGAAAAATGTCGCCAAGTCTAAAATTCCAATAAAACTACAAAATTATAATATTTTATTTAAAAATAATTTTATGATATACATAGTAAAAGATAACACGGTTTAAATTTCTATCTGACGTGTTTGACTTTTAAAAGCTTTTATATTGTTTTGAAAGTATATTTGTATAATTTGATAACGAAATAAAGCTTAACTATATACCGTCGTTGTCGGTTACTTAAATTTTATACCTCAATAGTCTTTACTTGCAACGAAGTATAGTTTACAATTGTAAGCAGTTTATAAATTTAATTTAATAATTTAGATATCTCCTTTTAAAAAAGAGTTTCTTTCTTTTCTTCCACTTTGGTTAGAAAAACATTTTTCTTCCAATTTTACACCGTGGGAGAAACATGCCAACTCTGGAATTTTAGTTTTAATGTTAGACTTTATGTAAGACTTTCTGAGATGCAATATTTAAACGATTAATAAACTTCACTTTTATAGGTCGAAAATTAAAATAATCAATTATAAAATAGTGCGCTAACTCCGTTACAGTGTATGAATAAAATAAAATACGTATACATTACCCAAACAGGAAAATCAGAAATGATGGAATATAAATTTGGGGAATGTAATCATAAACATACATTCTTGCAAACCAGTTGAGTTATTAAACTCTTTTTGTTTGGCTTTGCGGGAGTTAGGGGAGGGGGTGTACTTGGCTTTGCTTTGTGGGAGAGCCTTATTCATCTGGTATAATCAGCTTCATGAGATTCATGAAAACAATATGAGGGGGAAATGAATTCATTCATTAGACAACCTACGAAGAAAACGGCTCAGTTTCTAATAATAATTCTAAAAGCTGTGTTTCCGGATTGCGTTTAGGAAGAGAAGTTAGTAATATTTCTGACTCATTTCCGGTTTATCAGAACATTCTATTTTGAAATTTGGATTTTTTTCCCTTAATCTTCTTTTTTTACATTCTTTTTTTTTTTGAAATTTCTGAAAAAAACATCTAAACTTGCATTGGAATTTCATAAATTTTCTACTTAGGAGAAGGTTTTACTACTAATAATCGAGGGTTAAATCAATGCAAAAAGGAGATATGGAATTCGGTATTTAAATATACCAGGAGAAAAATTATCGGCTGGTTGTGATGATGTGATTAAATTCAAAGCAATTTTAAAATTCTTAATGCAAACGAAGATCTGATAAAGTTTCAAAGAGGTGTTATGGCATCATGTTATGGGCAAATCAAGATGTTTATATTTTATCAGTTTTGAACGTTCAATTACGGAAATTAAAATCGTACAAGTAAATCCCTTGAGCCATGGTGGCTCAGGAGATAGAGCTCTCGCCTTTCCATGAGGTGACCCGGGTTCGAATCCCAGAGATGGCTGGTTGGCACGAATTTCGCCCCATTAAAATTTCATGACAAGGTGGATTTTAGCTGAGCATACAAGACTTTGCCGAAAGAAACCTTATAATTACCAAGATTTAAGATTATTTTCATATTGAGACTAGTTTTATTAAGGGATTTTTTCACGCTTGAAAACACGAAGTCAACCTCGATTAAAGGTTTTAATATAGAAGGTTGTTTTCCAAGATTTTGGCTAAGGGTAATGTGCGTATAATAGAGCAGATTGTTTTAAC